ACACTCATTAGGGTGGTGAATGGATTTTTTTAAAGTAAGTAATAAGTGTTGGCAAGGATGTAGTGAAACTGGAACCCTTGTGCACATTGCTGTAAATATAAAATGGTGCATTTGCTATGGAAAACAGTATGATAGTTCCTAAAAATGTTTTAAAGTAGAGTTATCACATGATCCAACAATTCCACTTCTGGGTATATGCCCAAAAGAATTAAAAGCAGAATCTCAAAAATATTTGTATGCCCATGTTCATGGCGGCATTATTTATAATAGCCAAAAGATGGAAACAACACAAGTGTCCATCGATAAATAATGGAGAAACAAAATATATGTATACATATAGTTAAATATTATTCAGCCTTAAAAAGAAAGAAAATTCTAACATTTGTTACAACATAGATGAGGCTTCATGCCAAGTGAAATAAGCCAGTCACAAAAACAAATAAAGTCAATTCCATATATGTGGGATACCTAGAGTAGTCAAATTGATAGAGACAGAAAGTGGCATGGTGGTTTCTAGGGACCAGGAAGATTGGGAGTTTTGTTTACTGAGTACAGAGTTCTGGAAGATTAAAAGAGTTCTGGAGATGAGTGGTGGTGATCTTGCGTCTTCCTCTGTTTTCTACTGCTATAACAATGTGAGTGTACATAATGTCACTGAACTGTATGTTCACTTAAAAATTGTTAAAATGGTAAGTTTATGTTATGTATTTTTACCACAGTTTTTAAAAAATTTTTTTTAAAAGTCACTAAATATCTGTAGTCTACTACCATAACCCCATGAAATAATCTTCAGAGTAAATATATCTGTTTTCTTCAACTGTTCCTCATGTGACATGAACAAAGTTCATTCATACCCCATTCTGCTCACTGTCCTCTGATTGTTCTCCACCTACCTATAGCTCCAATTCATTCCGCAGACTTCAATGTGACTCTGACCAGTTAAGAATGAAAGAGACCTAGCTTCTCTTTCAGTATGACTACCAGACTATCCATCATACCACCAGACTTATGACTAATTTATTAAAACACTGCTAACTTCTTAGAGCTAACCATCCAACTAAAACCCTAAGTTCTTTTTTAATGTACCACCACTAAAACTTTTTATCAGTTAGAACTCTTCCAGTGATTAAAAAAGAACATTAAAACCAACACACAAAATTTGTGCAAACCAATTTAAACTGGAGGTATCATATTACCTGACTTCAGATTATTCTACAAAGCTGTAAGTAACCAAAACAACATGGTATGGCATTAAAAAAAAAAAAAAAAAAGACACATGAACTGATATAGTTTGAATGTTTGTCCCCTCCAAATCTCATTTGAAATGTGATCCTCAATGTTGGAGGTGGGGCCTAGTGAGAGGTATTTGGGTCATGGGGTCACGAGAGTGAATCACTCATGAATGGTTTAGTGCCACTCCCACAAATGTTCTCACTCTATTTGTTCATATGAGAGCTGATTAAAAGAAGTTGGCATGTTTTTTTCCTCTTGCTTCTTCTCTCACCATGTGACGTACCTGTTTCCTCTTCACCTTCCTCTATGAGTGTAAGCTTCCTGGGGCTCTCAACAGAAGCAAATGTCCACCCTATGCTTCTTGTACAGTCTGAAGAACCAGGAGCCAAAATAAACTTCTTTCTTTATAAATTATGCAACTTTAAGTATTTCTTTATAGCATTGCAAAAATGGGCTGACACATGGACCAATGGAATGGAGAGCCCAGAAATAAATCCATGCATTTACAGTCAACTCATTTTTGACAAAGGTGCCAAGAAGATACACTGGGAAAGGACAATCTCTTCAATAAATGGTACATGGAAAACTGGATATTCAAATGCAGAAGAATGAAACTGGACCCCCATCTTTCACCATATACAAAAATCAAATCAAAAAGAATTAAAGACTTAAATCTATGACCTGAAACTATAAAACTTCCAGAAGAAAACACTGAGGAAATGTTTCAGAACATTGGTCTGGGCAAAGACTTTTTAAGTAAGATGTCAAAAGCATAAGCAATCAAAGCAAAAATTGACAACTGGGATTCACATTAATCTAAAAAGCTTCTGGACAGCAAAGGAAGCAATCAATAAAGTGAAGAGACAACCTAAAGAATGGCAGCAAATATTTGCAAATTCTTCATCTAACAAGAAATTAGAAAGCAAAACATGTAAGGAACTCAAACTCAATAACTTTAAAAAAAAAAGGTCCAACTTAAAAATAGGTAAAAGACATGAATAGACATATCTCAAAAGAAGACATACAAATGATCCACAGGTATATGAAAAAAATGCTCAGCATCACTAATCTATCAGGGAACTACTAATAAAAAATCACAATGAGTTATCATTTCAGCCCAGTTAAAATGGTTATTCTCAAAAAGACAGAGAATATCAAGAGCCAGTCAGATTGCAAAGAAAGGAGAATGCTCATACACTGAAGTGGAAATGTAAATTAATAGTCACTATGGAAAACAATGTGAAAAACTGAAAAGAAGAAAAAAAAATAGTGGTTACTGAGAAGGCTAGTCGGGATGGGAGATGGAAAGAGGCTGGTTAATGGATACAAAAATGAAGTTAGACCAAAGGAATAATAAGATCTAGTGTTCAGTAGCACAATAGCGTGACTATAGTTATATAAGCACATTATGTAACATATGAGGGAGAACCCAAAAAAACCCTGGAATTTATTTATAAAAAGTTGTGCATTTATTTTTACATGTTTCAATTTCACTCACCTTCAAAGTACTCTCCATTTAAAGCAATACACCTATCAGGAAGATTTTTTCACAGCTCACAACTGTTTTGGGAATTGTCAATTCTGATGCCTTTTAGTGCTTCTGTCATTTTTTGTTTCACCTCTTCCACGTCAGCAAAGCGTTTTCCTTTGAGGACTTTTTTCATCAGGGGAAACCAAAATAAGTTGCTTGGGGTGGCATTGAGTGAATAGGGAGGGGAAGGTACAGAGATCATAACATTTTTGGCCGAAAACTGCTGAACACTCAGCACAGTGTGGTCAGGTGCATGTTCATGGTGGAAGAACCGGATCACCTATTTGCCACAAGGCAGCCTCTCACAACAACGCTAGCTGGTACGCTGATGCCAATGGGTTTCTAGAACTCTTACCTACCTGGAGAAGCCTGTATGTACTACAAGGGGCTTACCCTCCGAAAGATAATATAGGGGACTTGAGGGGTACTCCCCATATAAACAGACGATTAAACACAGTTGCTTAACACACCAGCAAGGACATTAATTAACAATAATTTATTATATATTTTAAAATAGCTAGAGGAGTAGATTTGGAATGTTTTCAAATGATAAATGTTTGAGGTGATGGATATCCCGATTACCCAGATTTGGTCATTACACATTATATGTTTGTGTCAAAATATTACATGGACCCTATTAAAATGTACAACTATGATTGACCCATAAATATTAAAAATCAAGAATACTGACAAGCAAAAAAAGAATTCATCGGCATGTATAAATGTTCTAAAGATGGTGTTGGCTTCCAAAGTGGCTTAATTCAACAGTTCAAATGATATCACCAGGTGTCAACGATTTTCTTCTCTTGACTCAGCTCTGCTATTCTCCTTGTGTTGACTTCATTCTTCTGAGACAGGCTGTCCACCCATAAGATGGTCACCAAGTACCTTCCAGGTTCATGGGTAGTGGAACAAAGCGAGAGTGTTGTTCCCAACAACACCAGTTAGTGTATCATGGCTTTTCAAGAGTTTTAATTGAGTCACATCCCTGAATCAGCCTCTATGACCAGGGTAATGCCAGTCCTGAATGGTTTGGTTAGGGGCACATGCTCTACCCCTGACCAGGAATGTAGTCACTTCTGTTGAATCAGCTCATGGACAAAAATTGGAAAGTGGTTCCTAGAAAATAATTGGGTTAAGATTGTCAGCAGAGTGAGGGGATGTTGAGCAACAAAAACCATATATTCATCCACCCTTTAATGAGTTCAACTGGATATTTTATGGACTAAGGTATGTTACCCTATGTTCACCTCTATTAAATATGATCTTATTAGAATACTCTGGGAAGATATTCTGGGGGTCCTAATTCTATCAGGCAATGGACTCATTGTTCCTCTCAGTTGTAGGCTCTCTACAGGGTGAAAAACGTGCCTTCTATATTGTATTGCACTTAGTGATGAACATTTATATATGTTATGTAAGCATGTTATATAGCATATAAACAAGCTATTAAACACGGAGCTCCTCAGTCTACAGCTAGTATCTTTCTTCCAAAGTGATACCACCAGCATCTTTGGATGTGGTCGTACAATCAGATAGCAGGTCCATCTTTGTCCTGAAGTCTGGGCCCCTATTTCTTGTGCCCAAAGGTATTGTGAGCAATCTTAACACAATGTCTAGACTCCTGGGAAAGTTTCTAATAGAGAACTAATGCTCTACACAATGTATGGATTCTTTATCTAACCATCATCAACAAGAGACCTTTTTCTTTACATGCGTCAGATTTCTAACACTTTCTAAACACACCAATTTTTTTTGCAAGTAGCAGTAGTAGTAGCAAAGTATACACAGTGTTTACTATATACCAGGCTCTGCTCTAGAAGCACATAGGATTAAATCTTAAACTCATTTTTTCCTCACAAAAAACTTGTGAGATAAGTCATAACCATCATCAGCATCTCCTTTCTAAAGACCAGGAAACTAAGGCCCAGAGAGGATAACTGTCTCCAATTCACACAACTGCTCAGTACAAGCTGGGATTTATACCCATGTGGTCCATCTGACATTGACACTCCGCATTTGGCATTGACACTCCGCATGTCCCACTTCCAGCCCCCAGGCAAATGCGCAGCTGAGTCTGCTTTAAAAGAAAAAAATCTGCCATAGATAGGAAGCAGCCACTCCATTTTCAAAACAGTTTATTGTCATAAACGAATCGTTTTCAATAACAAGTTCCGGCGGCCGCCCCACCCCCGGGACCATAACCGGCTGCTGCCGCTGATGACCATCCGCGGGAGGCTCGGACCCGAGGCCGACGCCGGGCACCCAGCCTCCCGACGCCAGGCTAACGCACCCGGGGAAGGCGATCCTGGCAGGCAGCCTGGCAGGTGGCATCGAGATCTGCATCACGTTCCCTACCCAATACGTGAAGACGCAGCAGCAGCTGGACGAGCATTTGCACCTGCAGCAGTACCGGGGCATCTGGGTACTGGCAGACGGTCAGCAGCCATGGCATCCTGGGCCTGTACCGCGGCGTCAGCTCCCCGCTCCACGGCTCCATCTCCAAGGTCACTGTCAGGTTCGGAATGTTGGAGTTCCTCAGCAGCCACGTGCGAGACACTCAGGGACGACTGGACAGCACGTGCAGGCTACTGTGCAGCCTGGGCGCTGGCGTGGCAGAGGCCATGGTGGTCGTGTGCCCCAGGGGGATCATCAAGGTGAGGCTCATCCACGACCAGACCTCCTCTAACCCCCAATACAGAGGATTCTTCCACCGGGTCAGGGAGATTGTGCGGGAACAAGGGCTGAAAGCGATGTACCAGGGCCTCACGGCCACTGGGCTGAAGCAGGGCTCGAACCAGGCCATTTGATTCTTCGTCATAACCTCCCTGTGCAAACCATACCGAGGAGACAGCCCCAACAAGCCCATGAATCCACTGATCACCGTGGTCTTCGGTGTGATTGCTGGCACAGCCAGTGTCTGCGGGAACACTTCTCTGGATTGACCTGGATGCAGGGCCTGGAGGCACACAAAAACTGGAGCACATGGGACTGTGGCTTGCAGATCCTGAGGAATGAAGGACTCAACGCATTCTACAAAGGGACTGTCCCCCACCTGGGCCGGTCTGCCTGGACGTGGCTATTGTGTTTATCATCTACAATGAGGTGGTGAAGCTGCTCAGGGAAGAGTGGAAGACGGACTAAGCCCAGGTGGTGCACAGGAGGACTGCCCCAGGACCGTTGTCTCACATGATTCCAGCATCGTAGTGTCAAAAGGCCCCTTTCCCTGCTCTCAAGCTATGTGGCCTGGTCTGTTCATTGAAGCCCTCAAGTCCATGTGTCCGTAGTGCTGTGTTTCCCCTGTGGTCTGTATGTGACGCCACTGTCATGTTCACATGTCCACCCAGCCACACTGGGTGTCCCTCTGGCCTGAGAACCTATGTCTGCATGTCCGTGTGCTTACTCATGAGCCCTGTGCTTGTGCTTCATGTTCTGTGTCATGTGATCCTGTGCCATGCTGCCCAGGGTGCATGTGTGGCCTGGGTCCATGGCCCGGTAGGCTGGCCCTGTCCCAGACTGGTGCTTTCCACTCTGCCCTGGCCTACCACAGCTGCCTCCGGGCCTCCTCCTGGCTTCACTGCATTCCAGGGGCTGCATGCCACCCCACTTCCACCCCTGACTTCAACTGGCCCTCAGGCCCTCCCTATACCTGAAACAAGGTGGCACCGCCACTCTCAGGACTACCCTGTCAAGGCGGAATAAACCAAACCCTGTCACCAAAAACATAATAATAAGTTCCTCCAGGGCCAGGTAAACTGGTTAAAAGTCATGAATGACTTCCCCAAAATACTGGGACAGAGAAACCAAGCCAAAGGGTTAGGACTGCCAACTAAAGATCAATTAGAACTGAAAAGTATCTCTGGCACGATGTCCATGTTAGTAGAAAAATACAACTTAAAAAAAAAACTTATCTTTGAAACAGATATTTTTTCTCTCTAAACAATGACTGTGCTTGAAAAACATGCATGAGAAAAATTGCATAAGAAGAGGAGCTCAATACAGCCTCCCACCAGGAATCTCCTCATGAGCAGAACTTGCTCCCAGTCCTTCCTGTGTTCCTCTGGGATCACCCGACCCACAATTCGGCTGTCACCTTTGACCATTCTATTAGTTTGTTCAGTCATTCACAAAGATGTAATGCAGATGGCTATCAAATTCAGAGGCGCTGCCTCCAGCTGTTTCTTCTGTAAATTCCATCTCATGAAATTCCAAGTGGTTGAAATGAGGGGCTTTTGTGAAAGGACAATATGCAGAGGCGAAGCAGATCAAACTAGGGATGCTGAAGCACCACAGATGAACTGTTACCACCCTTATAGTTGAAGGAGAATGGGAGGGCATAGTGTTATCGGGGAGCCCAGGGAGAGCTGTCTCTGCAGAGGAAGGGCCTTCTGGTGCAAGGGAGACCACTACCGCTAAACACTGCACTAAGAGAGGATGGGAAGAAGTGCCCTGTCTCTCTCTTCCCACCAGTTTCCTGTCATTGCCTCCCATGGGCAAGCAAGATGAGGGAACCTGGGGAGAGAGGTTGCACTCAGCAAGGGTCAGCCCTCAGGGTACAGAGCAGGGCAGGAAAGGGTGGTGAGTACATCTGGAGGATAGAGAATGAGGAGCACAATGTCTCATTCAAAAGTGGGTAAACTAAGTCATTAACAGAAGGGTAACATGTCTGAGTTCAAAAAGGGCAACCCAGAACCAAGATGAGGGCCCCATTCTCTGATCTTACTGATTTTAAGAAGTCTGAATGACTGGAAAGAATCATAAAATCTCAAAGGACAGCTAATCTCTCAAGCTCCATTCTAATGTCTGGTGGCGTTATAAATGGTCACAGTGGTCCACCTTTCTTCAGAAGGCATGAGGGTGTATGTGTGACCAGGATGACTCAGCCTTCTGCCTGGAGTCACTTGAAGAGGTTTTAGTGAATCACATGTGCGGGTGACAACTTGGGTGTTGTTTTTCTTTCAGTGAACTCACTCCACTCACTGATTTTGTGTATGTTTTATTCATGAAGGTGACTCATCTGAGGAAGTTGACCTGACCTTGGTTTATCAGGCAGCATCTAATGGAGATGTCAACGCTCTGACTGCAGTGATTCGGGAAGATCCTTCCATCCTAGAATGCTGTGACAGTGAGGGTGAGATATTTATGCATTTTGCATCCAGAATGTTCTGCTCTGTCCTTTTAGAGATGGCCTTCAGAGAAGAGCAATGTTAATAAAAACATTTCTGACCAGTCACTTTGATAGGGGATATGTGTAGATACCTTAGTAGTTCTTTAAATAAGCTGGTGGTTACAAAGTTTCAAATTTTTTTTTTTTTTTTTTGAGTTGGAGTCTTACTCTGTCGCCCAGACTGGAGTGCAGTGGCACACTCACAGTCACTGCACCCTCGACCTGCTAGGCTCAGGTGATCCTGCTGCCTCAACCTTCCAAGTAGTTGGAACTACAGGCGTGTGCTACCATGCCCGGCTAACTTTTTGATTTATTGTAGAGATGAGGTCTCATCAAGTTGCCCAGACTGGTCTCGAACCTCTGGGCTCAAGCAATCCCCTCACCTCAGTCTTCCAAAGTACTGGGATTATAGGCATGAGCCACTGTGCCCGGTTGCTTCAAATTCTTTTACATCACCTCTTGTAATGAAGTCAGGTCATTTGAGATTTTTCCAATATCTTTGTATGAATGACCAAAGTAGATAGGCCAAGTAGTTAGAAAAGGGTATGGATATAGCAGGCTACTTTTAGTAGCAATAGATGTTGAGAAAAATGTGACTATAAAAGACAGAAAGCAAGGACTTCTGCTCCTGGGAAGATGGAGCAGATGTACTTTTCTCCTATTCTTTCTGCTAAATATAACTAAAAATCCTGGCCATTATATAAAAAATAAATATAAGAAGACTCTGGAAGATGGACAGTAAATAACAGACTGGACCCCAGGAATGACATGGTGATGAATTCCCTGGGTTTTCTTTTTGCATTTTTGTTTATCCCAAAACTGAAGCTGAAGAAACCTGCAACCCAGAAATGTCAACAGGTACAAACAAAAAAGCCTTAACAAAATATTGATCTTTTTGGCCAAAGGACCAGGACATGAACAACCTAGTAAGAGGAAACCTTTTAGATGATAATGACTATACTTCCTTACACACCACAAAACACCCATTGGGCCCCAGCCTTACCCATTCCAGTTAAGATCAAGTGGGTAGCCTAGATCTCCACCCTCACCTACTGGATAATGTCACAGGAGGCCTTGCTGAGAGTTAGAACTTTCATCAGTACTCAGAGGTACTGAAGAGTCACCTCCCTCAGATGTCAATGGGATCCAAGTAGGGGACCTATAATTCTAATCCCACCTTGCAATAAGCACATGGCACCCCCTTCACTTCTCCTTTAGAGCAATGTCAAAGGAAGCCAGCTAAAATAGGTTTAAGTAAGATCAAGGAACACTCCAAATGTCCAAGTTTCAATAGACAATTACTAGTCATAGCAAGAAACAGAAAGAGCTCAAACTGAAGAAAAAAAGATAACCAATAGATGCTGACACTGAGATGACAGAGATGTCAGGATGATCTGACAAAGATTTTCAAGTGTCCTTAACAAAATGCTTCGATGAGCAATTGAAAACATGCTGCAAACAAGTGAAAAAAATAGAAAGTCAGGTCAAGCACAATGGCTCACACCTGTAATCCCAGCACTTTGGGAGGCAGAGGTGAGAGGATTGCCTGAGTTCAGCCTGGGCAACTTGGGGGTTTGAAGCCAGCCTGGGCAACTTGGTGAGGACCTCGTCTCTACAATAAACCAAAAAAATAGCTGGGCATGGTGACCCACACCTGTAGTTCCAGCTACTTGGAAGGATGAGATGGAAGAACTACATGAGCCCAGAGGGTCAAAGCTGCAATCATGCCACTATACTTCAGAATGAGCGAAAGAGTGAGACCTCAACTCAAAAATAAATAAATAAAGTCTCAGTAAATAAATAAAAGATATAAAGAAGAACCAAATGGCAATTTTAGAACTGAAAAATACAATAATGATAATTTTAAAACTCAGTGGATAAACTTAGCAGTGGAGCAAAGAATCAATGAACTTGAAAATAGAACAATAAAAAAAATCCAGTAGGTAATAGATAACTTGAAAAGTCCTATAACTATTTAGGAAATTGAATTCATAATTTAAAAATTCTCCAACAAGGACATCTTCAGGTCTACATAGTTTCACTGGAAAACTATGTAGACCAAACCTCTAAAGACTAATAAGCATCAATTCTACATAATCTCTTTCAAAAAAGAGAAGAGGAGAAAATACTTCTCAGTTATGTTTACGAGCTAGTATTACTTTGATATAGAAGCCAAAGATGATGTTAAAAAAAAAAAGCCTACAGACCAATAGTTCTCATGAATATAAATACAAAAATTTTTATTCATTTGTTTTAGTTTTTTTTTTTTTTTAAGAGACAGGGTCTCAACATGTTGCCCAGGCTGGCCTTGTACTTCTGGCCTCAAGCAATCCTCCTGCCTTGGCCTCCCAAAGTACCATAATTACACGTGTAAGCCACCATGCCCACCCAATATGAAAATCCTTAACAAAATACTAACAAATAGAATCCAGCAATATATGAAAAACAATTATACATTATAACCAAGTGGGCTTTGTTCTAGAGATGTAAGTCTGGTTCAGTATTTGAAAGTCAATGTAATCCACCAAGTTAATCAGCTAAAGGAGAAAATTCACATAAATTGATACAAAAAAAATTGACAAAATTTAACATACATTAATAAATTTAAAAATTTCAAAAACAGGAATAGATGAGAACTTCTTCAATATAATAAAGACTACCTCACACACACAAAAAAAGCAAAAATCAAAAAATGATACACCTTTCACTTAATGGTGAAAGACTCAGTGCTTTGCTCCTAAGCTCAGGAACAAGACATAAATGTCTTCTCTCACCATTCAAATTCAGTATAATGCAAAATGAGTGCAAAGGTTCAGTGCAAAAAAGCAAAGAAAAGGAAATAAAAAACATATATATTGAAAAAAAATAAGCCAGGCTCAGCCTGTAATCCCAGCACTTTGGAAGACTGAGGTGAGTGGATTGCCTGAGCCCATGGGTTCGAGACCCGCCTGGGCAACTTGGCGAGACCTCATCTATACAATAAATCAAAAAAATTAGCCAAGCATGGTAGCACACACCTATAGTTCCAGCCACTTGGAAGGCTGAGGCAGAAGGATAGTCGAAGCCCAGCAGGTCGAGGCTGCGGTGGCCGTAAGTGGCCACTGCACTCGTCTGGGTGATGGAGTGAGACTCCAACTCAAAAAAAAGAAAAACAAAAAAAAATTAAACTATTTCTTTTTACCAGACTTGAATGTCTGCATAGCAAGTCATAAGGAACCTACAAAACACTCCTACAGTTAAGAAATGAGTTCATCAAGGTCACAGGATACAAAATAAATATGCAAATATCAATTTTACTTCTGCACACTAACAATAAACATATGGACATCAAAATTTTAAAATATGATACCAGGGTATAGGCAAGATGACGACGGAACAGGTCAGAGTGTGAGAGTCTCCGCAAAAGTGAGCGTCCATACTCTCTGCATGAGTGGGCGTGTGCTGGTGGGTGAGTGAAAGTCTGTCTGAGGGGAGACTCAGGTTCATGCACCTGGGCCTCTCCTCCAGAGAGGGCTGCAAACCACCATTGCCCTGAGATTGGAGCCCCTGGCACACAGGACCACCTGCCAAACTCAGGGCTCTCTTGAGAGGAGGTAACAACTGCTTCTCACCACCTGGCACCTGGCACCTGGCACATCATCACCTGTGGCAGCAGACTGGGCATGAGCAGGAGAGGCAGGGCATGGAAATCTGGAACAGAGCCCCTCTTCCAGTGACGAGATGCTGACCGGCGCCATCTTCTCAGTCCCAGGACTTGGCAGGCACCTGCATTGCCCCACCCAATTCTGTCCAGCCTCCAACCTGGGACCCAGAGGCTATTCCCTTATTGGATTCAGAGAGACAGATGCCCCCTCACCCACGCTGGAACAGGCACAGACACATCAGATCTGAGTTTAAGACTTGACAGCAGTGGCAGCAGATGAGGTGGGTGAGTCCAGATCTGATTCATACTTCTTTCACAGTAGTTTGGGGGGCATCTGACACATGCTGAAAGCAACCCTAGCAGCCTGTACTGAGAGCGGAGAGGAGAGGCTGGAGACTGGAGCTGCTTCTTAAAGCCATGGCAGCAGCTGAAAGGAACCTAGAGTTAGGAACCTGGAGTTACAGAAACAACCACAGAGCAAGTTTTTTTTTTTGCTTGCTTGTTTATTTTGTTTCAGTTTTTGCTTTATTTTTCTTTTCTGTTTGTGTTCTTGTGCTTGATTTGTTTCTGTTATATTAATGACTTTTTAAGATTTTTCTGTTTGTGTATGGGTGCTTTTGAGAGAAAGTACATCAAGGGGGGGTTTTGTTTGTTTCTATGATTGTATATTGTTGTTGTTTTTTGGTCTTTGTTTGTTTCTCTGTTTATTCATTAGTTGATATATGTATGTCTGTTTTTCCTGTTCTTCTTCTCTCTCTCCACCTTTCTTTCATCTTCTTCCTTTATTTTTCCATTCTTTTCCTTTTTCTTATCTCATTTTTATTTCAGGGGGCAAGCATACACCCCCACTGCATGGACAGATTGTAAAACTGGGAACTGGGTTCCAGGGAGTCCATACACCTGTCAGCAGATACTGGAATCTGCAGACAGCTTCTGAATCACAGCTCCCCCTTATTAAATCTTAAAACTGCAAAACTCACAGCCCCCCCCACCCCTAGTTCAGCTTCAGAATAAAACAAAGCCAGAGGATCTACATAAGGAAGAATAGGAGATTGAGTAAACAGAAGTAAAAGCTATCCCCTCATCACTGAACAACAGAATTAAAGAAGACATTAAAAAAAGGTGGGAGGGGGAGAAAATCTACACAAATGAATAAAAAACAAAGGAAGAATATGGGTCTCACACAGACCCCTGGGAGGACAACTATTGAGAATACAGATTTTGGAACTCAAAGAATGACTGATCTCAAATCACAAACCCAGATACCAGGATATCAATAGAATAAATAGAAATGAGGAGAGACAAGAGGAAAGAATGAAAG